CTTAGGAACGAACCTTTATTCGAGGGTTCTCCTAGACAATATTTTATATTGAATTTAAAACATGTTTGGGTGATAGCTACCCTATACAATGTACTTCAAAAAATATTTACATTTTTCTTAGTTACAAATAATGTCTGTTCAGTCGCATAAAGATTGAACATTCTTAAATTAGAGAGATGAAAAAATAAGATTCTTGCACTTGAGTTCGAAATACTTGAACCTTTTTGTTCTTAACTTATGTTTGAACTAGATTGAATTTTCTTCAAAAGGTTTCGGGTTTGTAATTCATTTGTTCCCTTTCCCATTTTATTTCAGCTCACTTTAAGTATTTACATAATTTACAGCTCCGTACAAGTAGAAGCCCTTAGATGGGTTAATTAAATGGGCCATCATTACAGAATCAATTGAATTTACAAGCCGCAGAACACACATGGAACTCTGTGGCATATAAAATCCCCCACATCGCCCACACAAGCAAAAGGAGCTCATCACATTGTAGCCAGTTGCTTTTATTTTTTTGGGCAGCATTATTTTTATGCAAAACATGAACATTTAATAGAACGCTCTACGAATTTTTAATGAGCTCCTCCAGCAGGACGGAAAAAAAAGAGTGAGCAGAGTAGATTCCTTTTTTGGCATTTTACATGTTTTATGAGTTTTTCCCTCGCTCCTGTTTTTGTGTGGGCTCAGGTAGACCGACTCAATTTTGGCTGGCACCCCCTCCACCTGCTTTTGGCCATGCACTCTCCTCTACACGTACGGGTAATCAAATCAGTTGGTGAGGCAACTGCGTGCGTCACATAAATTTGCGCACATTTAGCAGATAATGAGCCCAATTAGCAAATGCCTGTCATGTTTTGGGAAAGGGGAGGTTTTTTATTTCGAGGACCCTGCAGCAGATTGTACACTTAACTTATTCAGATTGTTGGTAAAAGCTTTTCTTTCCGCTCAACGTCCAGTCAAATCGTTCGCAGCAATATCTCAAGTTGTCGCCCTCGAACAACCGCATTGCACCTAAGTAAATTATCGTGTTTCATTTGCCAAGCCATCAGTTGACCGCCACCGCCTCACTTTCGCCTCTGTCTGGCCACCCACCGTTGGCAACACTTAGTCACTTGGTTTCATGAGTAAACACATCTTATAAATTATTCAAAAACGCAAAAAAGCTATTTGCAACACTTTACCGTTAGCATTGCCACCGACGCTGCCGTTAGCATACATTTTTTAGCATTTCTTCGATGTTGCCGGGGTGTTCCATCTGAATCTGCTGCTGCTGCTACTTCTGCTGCTGCTGTCCCCGGCAATCAGTCAAAAACTTTGGCGCAACATATGCGTGGGAGGAAGAGAGATGATGTCGCAGTGAAAAGCAAAGGAAGCCAGGTAACAGCAGCGGCAAAAAGCATGACAAATGAAATGTTCAACTTGCGCTTAAAGCCGAACAAAAAGGAGACCCCGGAAAGGAAAATGAGGTCGCAAAAAAGGCGGGAAAAAATCATTGTAGTATATTTTGGGACCCCGTGAAGTCAGGTCGACGAGTGGCGTCGAGTGAAGTTGAGTTTCGGCTGACAAAGTGGATCGTCTTACGGCCAGGAGGTGGCCCAGTAAAAAGAGTCCTGTCCGGCCGAATTCACTACTCGACTTGGCTTGGGGCTCCATTTCCTTTTCCTTTCCGTGTTGTCGCGCTAAGGCTCCGTTCAAATATTTAACTTAAGTAAGCGTTTGTAATTAATTTCACGCTTAATACTGACACTTTACCACACTTTTCAACACTTTTTCGGCGCCCACGGTTCGCTCTCGCTTTTATGGCATAATAAACACGCATTTTATAATAAAGTCAAAAAAATTGACTGCATAATTTATGTGCGAGCAGCGAGGAGTTTTGCGGCAAGCGTTTTCCTCCTTCGTTATTCCTTGCCTTCACCAGCTTGGCTTTTCGCTTTTTTTGTGGGTAATTGATGTTCTTTACCCTGCAATTAACCCCCGCTTCGCCCCCCCTCCCCATCGCAAGATTTATGTCCTGACGAGAGTTATGTGACGAATTTTCTGAGAGAATTCTCAATTACACGCAATTAACTTGAACAATTTCCACAATAAAATGATACACAAAAACAAGACAAGCTTTAATTGAGGTAAAATTACTTATACATTATGTGGACCAATAATATAAAAAAGCCATACAAAATTACTGTTCGTATTTAAGAAAAAACGTACAAAATATAATATAAATTATATTTAGTTTAGTTCGAATGGCCTCTTTACAACCAAATTAAATATATTTACTTAATAACAAAAGGATTCATTTGAGCTAATAAGAAATTAGATTCGAACCCGTTTTTTTTTTGACTAACAAGCCAAACCAAAAAAATATCGCAAACATTGACAGCGAAAAGATACATCTGTTTACAGAAATTTCCTCTCGAATTACCAATTTGGATGCAAATATTTTTATTGAATCTGCAGTACGCGTATTGGTCACATTTACAACGTAAATTTCGACTGCAAAAAGTGTTGCGTTACATGCAAAGCGATTATTCAACTTTCTTGTTGATTCGCCTGAATTATGTATGAATCAAGAAATACACGTACATCCTTTTGCTCTGCATTTTATTAACTGCTGCCATGTTTAATTAATAGCCGGCCAGGCAATTAGCATGCGGAGAGCCCCACTCCCTTACGTGTCAGCAGCAGCAAATTGAATTTCGTTAAAATGTAAACTACACAGATATGCAATGTTCTCGGCAGTAAGCATATATTTGTGGATTGTGCAATTGTTTACTGTCTGGCAGGCAAAATGAAACAATTAGTGCCTGCCCGCACGGACACTTGATTGTCCCTGATATTCTGTAAAATGTATCTTCTTGTCCGATCCCACGCCCTTTGCCCTATCTTGGAGATGAGCCGGGTCCTTGGCCAGAATATTTATGCATTCCATTTTTGTCTAAACTAATAAGTTGTTGCTGCTTCTGGCCGTCGAGCAGGTTGTTTTATCTCATAATGAAACAGTAGACTGACTCTATGCAAATATTGCAGATACACATGTACCGGCTTGGCCTGGCTCCGAGTTGTTAACATATTCATTGAATCTGATTTAACTCTTCCACTCACATCAGAATTGCGGCTGTGAAATATGACTCCTTATCCTTGCTTAAGCGAAGGATTTGTGAGCCTCCTCAAAAGGCTTACTTAATTTGTGGAAAACTGTGTAATTGAACATTATGCAGTCTATCTAATTGTGTTTCGTTTTCCTTTGCAATCTGGAGTCCAGATTCTGGACGCCCTTAAATGCTTTGAGAGTGCCTGACGAAAATTGGTTCAAACCCACTATTTCATCAGTTATCTCTCATGTTATTCTTGTATGAATCTAATAATGACTCTGAGTTACGGGTTTTTATTTTTAATAAAAGTTTATGTTTTTTTATAAAAGTAAGGCACATATTAAATACATTCATTTATAATGGTGTCAAACCAAAATACAGCTAAACGAAGTAAGAAAGTTGTGTCGATTGAGTATTCAACTAGCTTTATCATATTGTATGGCACAACATATTTGATATACTTGTGTTTGAAGCCAATTGAAAATTTCATAAAATGTTATTAATTTTATTACATTTTCAACTAATTTCGGATCCCAGCTATATAATTACTTTCACTTACAAAATAATTTCATTTTTCAAACACCGGTCTTCATGGCTTCAATTTATATACTCATGCACAGAGTAAGTTTGCAACACAGTGAAGGAGACATTTCCGACCCTATAAAGTATATTTATTCTTATCAGCATCACCAGGAGAGTCGATTTAGCCATGTCTGTCTGTCCGTCCGTCTGTCCGTCCGGATCGTGCGACTATATCATATAGCTCTAATTGGAACAATCGGAAAAAACAATTCAAAAAAATAAAAACTTTGTTGTTTTTAATGTTTTTTGGTTGTGCTTTGAGATTTGGTAATATTTAAAAATTTTGAAATAACGGTTAAATTAAATTAAAATCGGACAAAAATATAATATAGCTGTCATAACTGCAAGGGTATACATATAAACTTCGGCTTGCCGAAGTTTGCTTCCTTTCTTGTTTTATAAAAGAATTAATATATTTTATACTTTTTTTCCAAGATCTGAATGTTTTATTGTTTACTTTTAAAACTCACTGCAGATCTTGCTAGCTTGCCAAAAAGATTAAATATATTATTGAATCAAAACAATTGTGGAATAATTTTAAATTTAAATTCAATGTTTAAGGCATTTAAACAGCAAGCACTAAGTACTATGATATTACTTGTTTATGGTAAACTAATAGGAGTAAAATTGGACATGTTTTTCGGTCGGAAATTTGAATATTTGACCATACCCAGGAATAATTTTGGGTCGTTCGCTCAAAAGGTTATAAATGCTCATTGAATTTCCCACGAAATTTCAACAAATGTGATTTATGATCCGAATGAGTCATGGATTCTTGATTCTGGAAAGCCCAGAAGATAGTGTCTATCAATATATGGCACACATACAATCTCAAATAAACGAAGCAGAAGATTATTTTCAGATTGTAAATTTGTTTTCGAAGAAGTATGCAATTGTCCCGCTGTTTATTTGGTTTCCAAATGACTTAAAATTAATATTTAAGCGATAAGAACATGAGCTCATGTCTATTTATATGCTAGTTCATATACATATTTGGTGGTTTAGGGTTTTCCAATTGTTGGCCGACGGATGAGAGACTTGGACGGCCAAGTACTATAGATTAGAATATAATGTATTTTATAATATTTTAGACTTCGTGGTCTCTTTAACAAAAAGCTACATTTCAGTACACTTTTGAAATTCGTTTCGAGTAGATGGAACATCTTAAAATGCTGATGATATTATCCTATTTGCTTGGCTTATTAATTTTTCCAAGTGTACAAGGAGGAATTGGGTTCAATTCCAAGGATCAGTCGTTGTGCGTTGTCCAAGATGAACCCAGACAGTGTGGCTCCTTTTGCATGGCCGCACTCAACCCGCTTTTCGACCATTCTCGCAATATTCGCAAAAGGTTGGATGAAATCGAGGCAGGGCAGACAGCCCTTAAGGATTCCTTTAGGATGACCAGGACTAACACAAACGAAGACTTCGCGAATTCAATTAAGGCTTTGCAGGCCAAGCTGGATGCGGGATTGAACATAATGGAGGAACTTAGGACGGTGAGTTACGGATAGTTCGACATCCTTTGGCGTTCCTATCGAAAGTGCTTATCTCTGTTTATAGTTAAATTGCATGTAAAAAGGGAAATAGTACAAATTTGTTTAGCCCATTAAATAATACTGAGCTGGAAGAATTATGATTTTTTTTTTGTAATCATTTTGTACAGATAAAAATAACAGCCGATGCCAACGATGAACTGGAAAGCCAAGTAAATACCTTGAAAGGCACCATAATAGACTTACAGAGTCAGGTAAAAAAATTAGAAGGACAACTAAAAATAAAAGAAGGTATTTTAAACGTGAAAGAGGAGCAAATCAAAATCCAGCAAGAAGAAATCTCTGACCTTAGGAGTCAAATTAAAGCGATTGGGAAAACAAAAACAGAACTATCTAGTCAGCTTTCTGAAGTGAATAAATATTATGACATTTTACTTGACTCTTGTCCCAATGACAGTCCCAATGGGATTTACCAAATAAAGCTTCGGGGTCTTGAACCCTTTAAAGTGCCATGTGCGACATCTCTACCTGGTTGGACTGTAATTCAGAGACGTATTGACGGATCCGAGAACTTCAATCGAACCTGGTATGAATACAAAAATGGATTTGGGAATGTCAGTAAAGAATTTTTCATCGGGCTGGAAAAATTGCATCGGATGACTGAAGCACGACCCCACGAACTCTACATTAAACTTGGGAACATTAATGGATCCACCAGCTACGCTCGTTACGATGATTTTAAGATCGGGAGTGAGGAGGAAGCCTACGAGTTGAAGAATCTGGGGAAATATTCTGGTGAAGCCGGAGACTCCCTCGAATACGATAAGAACGAAAAGTTCTCCACATTTGATCGGGATAATGACAGTTATATGGATTATAATTGTGCGAATGAATATGGTGCATGGTGGCACAAATACTGTTCAGAAAGGTATATCTGGTTATTTATGCTCTGCTTAAATCTTCTTACTATAATCACTTAAAATTACAGTTCGCTCAATGGAAATTACAAAAAAGATGGCAAAGGTCTTAAAGGAATTCATTGGCACTCATGGCATGAAGACTGGAAGACATCACTTACCTTTGTTGAAATTATGATAAGGCCCAAGTCTTTTTGAGTAGCACTGTTAAAATATGAAATATTTGCATCCTAATACAAAATACTAATTTTACACTGTACTCTTAATGGTGTAATTTGTTTTCATTTGATGAAATGGGAGATTTGATAAATGGTCTCATTGTCTTTTTATACCCTTGCAGACGGTATTATAATTTTGGTCAAAGGTGTGCAAAGCAGTAAAGGAGAAATCTCCGACCCTATAAAGTATATATATTCTTGATCAGGATCACCTCCTGAGTTGATATAGCCATGTCCGTCTGTCTGTTTCTACGCAAACTAGTCTCTCAGTTGTAAAGCTATCGAATTGAAACTTTGCACCCACCTTTCTTTCCTTTGCACGCAGTATATATGTCGAAACGGCCGGGATCGGCCGACTATATCCTATAACTGCCATATAACTGATTGATCGGAAATGCCATAACTTTGGTGTTTTAAAGTTAGGAAGTTGGAATTTTCTATGGGTTTTATATTTGGCCAATCAATCCGACCTACCAAATTTTCTTAAGGATCGGCCGACTATATCCTATAGCTGCCATATAACTGATTGATCGGAAATGTCATAACTTTGGTGTTTGTAAAGTTAGGAAGTTGGGATTTGCTATGGGTTTTATATTTAGCCAATCAATACGACCTACCAAATTTCATAAGGATCAGCCGACTATATCCTATAGCTGCCATATAACTGAACGATTGGAAATGCCATAACTTTGGTGTTTATAAAGTTAGGAAGTTGGGACTTTCTATGGGTTTTATTTTTGGCCAATTAATCCGACCTACAAAATTTCATAAGGATCAGCCAACTATATCCTATAGCTGCCATATAACTGAACGATTGGAAATGCCATAACTTTGGTTTTTGTTAAGTTAGGAAGTTGGGATTTTTTATGAGTATTAAGAATGCATCATATGAATAATTTTGGAGAATATAATTTACAGAGTATTCTGCAAGGGTATATCAACTTCGGCTCCGCCCGAAGTTAGCTTTCCTTTCTTGTTTTATATTAGATATTAAATTAAATTGAACAGCTTTGTTCTAAGTGTACGTAGAAAGAAATAAATGAAAACCTCCCAATTGCCAGTCACATTCCGCTATATCCACAAGTGCCAAGGTTATTGGGTCAAAGTCAGATAACGTGACTATGACACCTCGGTGAGAAGGCAAATAGTTGCGATAAGAAGAAATTCACCCAAATTGGCGAACGGCAAACAGATTTAATTGCGAAGTCTGTTGACATACCGATAAGTTCCGACCCACTGCCGATGATATAAAGCCAAGACGCGGAAGTACTCTTCAGTCAGAAGGTGCGATGTACTCAACGGGACTTTTATGGAGCCTAGTGGTGCTCGTGGCATATGCCGGGGCCACGCCCACTCCCTTCGACGGACGGATTGTGGGCGGCGAGGTGACCACCATCGGGCAATTTCCCTATCAAGTATCCGTCCAGTTGAACGGACAGCACATCTGCGGGGGAGCCGTCATCGGAGACAACTTTGTGTTGACGGCGGCCCACTGCTTCGAGGGTTCCTCCGTAATCGACAGCGAGGATTACACCGTGCGAGTGGGCTCCAGCGAACATGCGAGTGGGGGCCACGTGCTCAGCCTGCGGCAGGTGATCACCCACGGCGGCTATAATCCCCAGAGCCACGACAACGACCTGGCGCTGCTCATCCTGAATGCCAGGCTCAATTACACGGAGCACCTGCAGCCGGTGCCCCTGGCCACTTTGAGAGACCCACCCACCGCGGATACCCGGCTCCTGGTCAGCGGATGGGGGTTCGAAGCGGAGGAGGGCGGGGCCAGTGGGGAGGTGGGCGTGTCGCCGCAACTGCGCTTCGTGGACGTGGACCTGGTGGACTCGGATCAATGCCGGCGAGCATATCGCCAGGTGTTGCCCATAACCCAGCGGATGATCTGCGCCGCGCGTCCGGGACACGACAGCTGCCAGGGCGACTCCGGCGGACCGCTGGTGGGCTTTCCAGCGGATGAAGGTCCGGCCAAGCTGCTCGGCATTGTGTCCTGGGGCCTGGGCTGCGCCAATCCCAACTATCCGGGAGTCTATACGAGCGTGGCTGCCTTTCGCAACTGGATCGATGCCCAAGTGGGCGCATGGGGATGGAACGGCCTGTTGGCGGGGTGGAGTGGATTGCAATGATACAGAGGGAATCTTAAGGCTAAGAAAAAAATCATAGGAAAAACATTTTTAAAAAATTTTAAATTTTAAATTTTTTTAAATTTAAATTAAGACACAACAATTTTTTATTTAATTTAAAGTAAATGTAACACTTTAAATTAAATAAAAAATTGTTGTGTTTTAATTTTCATTTTCGTTTATAATTCTTTATCTTTATTTATAAAAATTTAGGTAGATTAAAAAGTGATTTTATTTTGTACCTTTATTATTTAAATTGGGTGTCTACTAGCTCATGGCATAAATCATAATTGCCTAACAAAATAAATCAATCTGTACACTTAGAAAAACTTGAGAAGATAACCATTTCTGTCGGCCCTTGAAATAAAACGTTTTAAAATAGTAAAATAAAATGTGGTTTAAAACAATAAAACCAATTCCAAATCGATAGCTTAAACAAATGCTTCACGAAATTGATTTGTTCTAAATAAACACTTTAAAATGTGCATTTAAAAGAATAGCTCAGCTTTTAGTGTGGGGGAAACCCCAATTCCATGCATTGAACGTGTTCTTGTTAAGTTGTGCGGCTAGCCAGCCTGGTGTTTATTTTGGCCTAAGTGCATAAGTTACCTGATGCTGACCGCACCCCCTTGGCTTGCTTTTCATGCTGTGATTTCATTTGAATAAATCAATTGCCACATGCGCATTTGTTGCCACACCGACCGCAACCACACAGCAGACCAGACCTGGCCAAAACAGTCGGTCGGGCAGTTCGTCGGTCGCAGAGTCATTTTGTCAGTGTGCTGCTGCGGTTTTCACACTTTTTTGGCAGGCCAAACATGCCAATGCTGCGCAGCTATCTTTGGTGTTATTGCCATTTCTGTTTTCCTTAGATGTTGGCCCAGGGCCCGGAAAAGTCAACGAACCGCCAGTCCGCGAGTCCATAAGCCTTTTCGCGTGGCCCACGAAATTGGATTGGCTGTCGATGCTGATTTAGGCCTAATCTCGATATTTGGCTAATCGGCACACAGTCGGCCAATAAATTGCCGCGGCTTAAAAATCTAGGCACTTTTGGGAGGGGTCTTCTCATCTCGCGGGGCCATAAATAAGCATGACTGTCAGAAAGTAAAAGGCCATTGAAGTTGGGCAGCCGACTAAGAGAAAATACCGTCCCGATTTCCCAATTTTTCTATTTATTTTACTTCGTGGTTATAAAAAGTTTCACCCACGCACCTAAGTGTGGAAATTTTCGCAATCTTTGAACTGTCACAGGCACGGAAATTGATATTTTGTACAAGATACTCATGCGAATTTGTATATGTCTAGTTTTCGCTTAAATTTCAACAAAATTTAGGCTCCCTCGGATCTCTGATACTGAAAGGCGGGTTGGTCTTTGGTGTTTTGGTTGTTCAGACTTAGGGTTCAGACTCAATCCGCCCAGGTCTTTCCTTACGTCTCCTTTGTGCTAGTCAAAAGCTTTTGAAGTGATGGAAAAGGTGGAGTGATGGCTGCCCGGTAGGAAAACTGACGGATTTTGGCTAGTTTGATCAGCGTCAAAGGATTAAACTGGCAGTTGAATGGCAGCTTCATCGTTTACAAATAGCTTGGCCGTCTTGGGCTATAAAGTGATTCTTTTTATACCCTTGCAGAGGGTATTATAATTTTGGTCAAAAGTGTGCAACGCAGTGAAGGAGACATCTCGGACCCTATAAAGTATATATATTCTTGATCAGGATCACCTACTGAGTTGATATAGCCATGTCCGTCTGTCCGTCTGTCTGTTTCTACGCAAACTAGTCTCTCAGTTTTAAAGCTATCGAATTGAAACTTTGCACACACCCTTCTTTCCTTTGCACGCAGTATATATGTCGGAACGGCTATATCCTATAGCTGCCATATAACTGATTGATCGGAAGTGCCATAACTTTGGTGTTTGTTAAGTTAGGATGTTATGATTTTCTATGGGTTTTATATTTGGCCAATCAATCCGACCTACCAAATTTCATAAGGATCGGCCGACTATATCCTATAGCTGACATATAACTGAACGATTGGAAATGACATAACTTTGGTGTTTTTAAAGTTAGGAAGTTGGGATTTTTTATGAGTATTAAGAATGCATCATATTAATAATTTTGGAGAATATAATTTACAGAGTATTCTGCAAGGGTATATCAACTTCGGCTCCGCCCGAAGTTAGCTTTCCTTTTGTGTTTTACCTTGTCTTTGTGCATTGTATGGTGTATTCCCTTCGTGGTTCAGTTCACCTGCCTGTAAACTGTACAAAGAATGTTAAATTCACATAAATTGTGTCAACTAGCTAACAGCCAAACTATTTCGCATTACGCCTTAAAGACAAACCAATTGATTCTATTCGTAGGATCATAGCCGATCATAGGTAATTTATTAATCTGGTGGTGTTGATATAGGTCCATAGGTCCGCTAGGTGTCCTCTGCGAAGAAGAAATTATCAAATGCAAGTGTTTTAGTACTAAAAGAGAACCATAAAGTATTCATCAAGGTTTGAAATTCAAATCAACCCATGCACAAAATGATAATTATATATTTATCTCAACCTTTTTTGTTCTAATCTGATTCTAAATTCGTTTGTGGCAGAAATATTTTCATAAGCTTTTGATTCACTTATTACATAATACGATTTATATTCACGCACTTGTTATACCTACATTCTTAGGTATAAACTAATCAAAATGCAACTGGGTGAGAATACTACCCATCAGTGCTTTTTAAGCAGCCACCTGAGGTATCCGAATCCCCTGCCTTTTCTCTGCCCAATGCTCACTAAACACGTCTCGATGTGTTTTTCGAGTTCTGTAACTCATTTGCAACTAAACTGGGTTCATTAAAGTTAATTTGAACGTGCAACATTGGCATGCCACGCAGTGTAACAACAAGGTGAGGGGGTAAGACCGGAAAATCGGAAAATGGGGAGTGGGGAGTGGGGAGTGGCTGGGTAGTCGGCATCTGGGGTCTCTGGCCTCCTCTGGCACGTGGCTTAGCGTCTATAAGTTTGACATTTGCGCAACGCAAAATGACAACTGCAAACCCGAGTCCTGGCAGAGTTGCAAAATGAAAAAGTTGCCAACACTCTGCTGACATTTGCATTTGTCTTTGTGGGAAGCCAGGGGAATGTCCTGCGGTAAGTAGCAAAAGAAAAACCTTTCAAATTAGGACCAACTCCCGGAGTTCTTGTCGCACGTCTGGGCAGGTAAAAGAAATATGCAAATAATTAGCTTCGCTGCAAAAATTGTATTCGGGAAGTTTGAGACAACCCTGCCTGCAGTTTCTGTCACTAATCAATTTCGTGTGCTGATCCACACACCCTGGAAAGTATGTATACATCCTTTAAAGGAGCAAAAACAAAGACGTAAAGCGAACATTAGGGACATTTGCAATGCCAAGCGTCCTCCATCTTTTATCTCCTTGGCTGGCAGCTTCTCTAGACAGCTTTTGCACACTTTTCCGCTTTTGTTATTCCGCGTATTATGTTACCCATTCCTTGCCACATTCCACTCCCTTGTGCTTTTCCCATGCATGCCACTTACATTTTACTTTACGCGCTTTCCCACGCACCAGAAACGGAATGAGGAATGCCGGGTATCCCGGGAAAAATTCCATTGGCGGCGAGCTGATTGCCTGATATGCTCCACTGGTCGGGTGGTATCACAAAGAAAATGCATGCAGATGGAAAAAATTTCCATGCGTTAGGTAAGTGAAAGGCTGGCAGACAAGGACAGCCGGGGAAAGCGGGGAAAGGGAGTGCTGAAAAGCACTAAAAAGTATTATCTAAATGATAATTTGTTGCTTTGTTTGCTGAGTAATGTAATTTTATATTCCTCCCACACGGCTTCTGCATAATGCACATTGGACATTTTCCACTTCCTTTTTCTTGTAAAATCCCTTAAAACCAAGATATCAGACTTTCAAAAGCTACACAAAAGTTTAAGGACACACATTTATATTTCATACGGGGCGGTAGGGAAAACCCATGACTTTTAAGTCGATTCTCTTGAAAAACGCTTACAAGTTTGATTGTTAGATAGATTTTTCTTTATACATCTTAAAACTATACGATCCAATTTAAAAGTATTAAAATCTCCATTTCCCACCAAAGAAAAATATGACAGACGTATAATTTTGCATTGGATAAAAGGCATTTGACCTGGAAGAAAAATAATAAATAATGTTCAGCAAACATATTTGGATCGTTAAGCATTATTATTATTATTATCAATAACAAATAATGCTATAAAAGCTTTTTTTTTATTCATAAGAACGTACTCAAAATTCAAGAAAGTATACAATTTTTAATTTTTATTTTATTATACATCGTTTAGAGTTACAACACTTCGACTGTATTGAAAAATACCTCATTATTTACCTTATACCTAACTACAAGTTAAAAATCTTTGTTATATACTAACCAATTCAAATTAAAGCTCAGTTCAGAAGTACTCGAATTAACACAATAAATTTAAACATAAATTATTTCCATTTACCTAACTTATAAGCCTTCAAGTTTCCAGTTTAATTTAATTCCAAAAGTCTGACTTTCAATTGATTTATTTGATTCAGCTTGCAAAGGATTAGTAAGTCCGCAAGGGTATTAGTTTCCCACTGTATTATTTTCTGCCACTATTTTAGTTTGCTCAGTCAACCTGCCGGTGAACTGAACAAACAATGTTAAATTCACATAAGTTGTGTCAACTAGCTAACAGCCAAACTATTTCGCATTACGCCTTGAAAGACAATCCAATTGAATGGGATTGCATCGTTTTTGGGGCCGCTTCACCTGCAGCACTCAGCTCATTCGGAATCAATTGGAATTGCAACGCAACTTGCAATGCAATTAAATGCCAAACAAAGTTGGCAAAATTCAATTTGAGAAACTAAAATCGCTGTCGTCTCATCTCGCTCCCTATCTCACCGTCTTCAAATCGTTATTCCTCCTGTTGGCCAGTTGTAGTAGCTGCGGACAAGTCAAAGGCCGAAAGGCAAAAGGCACAAAAAGCCAAAAGCAAAGCTCTGAAATTCAATTCTGTTGCGCTCGATTGCGTTGCATTTCAATATAAATATTTATTTTATTTATATACCAGTGGGCAGGGAGTGGAAATGGGTACGGGTATGGGTATGGCACACACAAATGGACAGAGCGACAAGTTGCAGCTGACAGTAAAAGATGTTGTGGAGCCCATTTGTTTTAGTCAATGGCAAGCACAAAGTCAGTTCGGGTCCACTCAGCCAGTGGAGTTCCAGTTGAGTTCTTGGTATGCCGGCAGCCCAATTGGGAAACCCCTTTCCCTTTCCCCCCTCTTCCCTCCTCTGCCACTGCAGCAGTCGAATTCAATTTTCGAACTGATTTTCCCTGGCATGTGTGAGTGTGTGTGCATTGCATTTCCAACTGCAATCGCCATAACTTTGGCTTAGCCAAGGGTAACCATCTCGAAGTCCTTGTCACAACAAGTGCCCAACGGTGGCGGTGAGGTGGGGGAAAGCTATGCTGGCTCAACCTGATGCAGTTTGGCATTCGGAAAATGCGATTGCAGCCAAACATGCTGGCCAATTTGTACAGCCTAGCGTTAATTTAAAATCATTTTACATACCAACTAGCTGGTCAAATTGTTCGACTAACTCGAAATAAAGTTATCTATTAGCCCAGGATTGAGAAGAGTCGACATTGCATGAGGGTGGAAATCTTTTGGGTCTTGTTTGCTTTTTAGGCACATGGTATAATAATTTTAGTAAAGATTACCAGCATACTGATTTCTAATCAAACTAGTCTTTTAAAGCTAGTTGATTACAATTTAATAGGGGTCTTTTAATTGAAATATATATTCAAGTGCTCTTTTGTAAATTCAAATAAAAACACATTTTAGCGAAATATTAAAGTGACAATCGCACCTAACAATATATTTAAATATTTTTTAAAATTTTTACCATTCCATTTATCTAGTTGGTTAAAACAAATCAACACCCATCAACTCCACAAGTATCCCCACAAGTATAAGAGTAAATTTATAATACAAAATCAAAGATATGAGTTTAGTAAATAAATTAGGTGTAGATCTGCATATTGGTTAAAACATGTTACGTTTTTATCTAAAGAAACCTGATTTTTTTAACATCTATCTACTTGAAAAAACTTAGAGTTGGACTACTATTAATCTTATAAACGAAAACCTCTGATCACCTTCACCTTGCTGCCCTGTGACCCCACGCTTACATACATTCATGCGCTGCCACTTGCATTCATATATATTTTCATGGAGATGAGTATTTCATGCACTCAGCCGCATTAAGTTCGTAATGCCGTGTGTAATTATTCTTTGTTTAAATATTTCACAAAGATGCACTTAAAATGTCAGCGCAAAAAGTGACGCGCTTTCACGCACACAGTAACACATTACCCCGCACACATGTGCGAATGGCAACCTTTGGCTCAAATGTGTTTTCGCCTTTTCTTTTCGCTCGTCCTTTCATTATGATTTCCCGCTCTCTCACCATTTTGCACATTTGCATTTTTATGAACATTTTGCTGCTTACCCCAGACCGCCCTATTTCTATCCCGTTCTGTTGGCCACCTCGCTCTAACTCCCGTAATGCATGTCCTTTATATGCGCATACACTAAATATACATTATGTGCGTGGGCCAGAGTGGGATGGCAAGTGAGTTGGGGAAGAGTGAGCTGTTGTAAGAGTGAGCCGGCATTAAAGTGTATTAAATTACTTAAGCCGGCGGCGAGCAACAACGAAGACATATGCTCAACTTTTAAAGCATAATTTCTCAAGCATAAATCTTTGTGGCTTTTCGCGAACAAACAAAAATTAGTTGCACTCGGCGACAGGCGAGGAATCAGAAAAAGTGCAGAAACAGTGTGGCCAGAGCAAGAGAAATAGCAGGCGAAGGCAACGGTAAATTATGCCCCGCAATATGTCAGCATGTTGCCATGAAGAGACCAAGAGGGAGAAAGGAAATGAATCTAGAAGTGGGAGCGGTACGGACAGATGGTGGCTGCTGCACCCATTGCGTTTGTCACACTGCGGGGGTCACGGCATTTCCCGAAGCCTCACTCCCCCTCCCATGCTTAATCAGAAATTATTTGAAAATGTAAAGTCGACATGTCGACGCACGCACAGCGAGTGCAACCGCAGCACCCCACCCAAGTCCCACCCACAGGCCCGCCCCCGCTGGCAGCTGCAATTTGCACACGCCACGACCCCGTGACCCACTTCGTGCGGAGCGAGAAAGAAATCTGCAACAAGGAGCCAAACAAAAGCCAGATGGAAAACAAAAACCGCCGCCAAAGAATGGAAGAAGAGCCCCAAAGACGCGCACCCAACTTTCATAGACTAATGCAGACTTGGCACCATGCTGAGCGCGACTGGGAAGAAATCCCTACCAAGAGAAGCCCCCATGTGGTGGGTTGGGTGCGGGGGAAGAATGCCGGGCAGGAGCCTGAAACACTGCCAGAGTCGTGGCTCATTTGTTTGGCCGAATCGCACACAAAAGTAAGTCGCAGAACAAGGCAAGACAACTAGAGAATTGCGTCCCAGAATGCCGAAGATTTCCCTACCCTTTAAATCCTTTACCGTGAATGAATATTAGATACCCCAAGTTTTACCATTAATAATTCGATTCTAGTTAAGGTACATAGTTTAGAGTAAGAAACCATTCGTTATCATTTCGATTTTTATTACTTTCGCTCATAAAAATTGTATAGCGTGCTTTTTGGCGACAGTTCATTAGTTCTTCAAGCAGCCGATAAATAAATACACTTAAAATAAATGTAACTCCGAAAACAGGAAATTCGTAAATTCTAGGCTTAATAATTCTAACATCAATGGCGTTTTTTTTAATCTAGTCCCTAAATTAAGGAAAATCTTTCAAAAACTTAGGCCAGCTAACTTTACATTTTTTCTACAAATTATTTATTTATTATATATTTTTAATTCAGCATGTTAATTTATGTATTGTTAGAAGTATTTCCCTCTTCATATATGAACTAACAAGATCTGCTTCTACTTTATACAAAAAACCACATGGTTCAGCTTCTATACTTCCTAATATACTATTTTGTCTTATGCTTCAACAGACTGGCTTTCTGGTATCCTTCCCAATATTCCCTTTCAAAGGGTATCGTTTTCTCATATTAGTTTGCTGTTGGCGAAAGCATGACAAAAGAGGAACCTGCGCCGCCTTTATTTTCATGGCATTCGCTGTGATCCATTTCCACCGCGACTTCATCTTGAACTAGTTGGCAAGTCTGAGTCCTGAGTCCGCGCTGCCACTCCCACTTTTCCCCCGTAATAATAAGTCATGTTAACCGAAAACCGGGCGGTGTCTTTTTGTTGCTTCAGCATCTTCGCCTCCGTATTTTTTCCAGCGCGTGGCATCAACAAAAAACTTTTCGCGCACAATCAGTTGCGTTTCAACATGGCACTGCATCATTGTTGCAACTCCTGCTGTTGCTGCTGCTATTGTTGCCTTTGCTTATAATTTACTTTTACTTGTGCGCTTTGGCTTTGTGCAGCTCGTGTGTCGTGTAAAATATTTGCACAACAGGGGAAAGGAGTAGGGGAGAAACAGGCAACACGACAATGGCACCAACATTAACAAGAATTATTTTTCTGGAAGGGACATGCCCATATAGTCAAGGTTTCTGCTGCCATTGTTAATCAGCAGCTGGTAAACAAAAGTTTCATTGAATCTCGTCAGAAAGGGAGTGCAGCCAAGAAATGGGAATTAAAATTGTTTGTCGGTTTTTTCTTTTAGAAAATATTTTTCAAAACCTAATCAATTGGCACAACAAAATAAAATAAAATTTAAAGCCATATACGAAAAACGTAGTTTTTGGATCACATTTTCAAGATTAAATCTTATTGAAAAGATTTCGGGGCTAAAAGCAAAAATGAAAGCTATAGTCGAGTGTGCCGACTATCAGATACCCTTTACTCTGCAAACTAATTTAAAAAAAAATATACATCCAACAGATGGCGCCACTTGCAAGGTCAGGTATATTTATCCGCTGGCGGTCATTGACAATGTTGAACTCACTTTTTTAATAGCTTTTAAATTGTTCGAATTTAAAAATCTTCGGTGTAGATATTGACCGAATAAATATATACCGATCAAAAACTTTCATCTGTCATGTCTCTACGGAACTTCGCTATTAGTGGTCGTTGGTGGACGTGGCTAATTATTGAAATATATCCGTCCATATGAACGTCGAGGTCTTGAAAACTTTAAGAGCTAGAGATTTTGCATTGAAATTGCTCATCTAATGATGTAATGGCAGTGGTATTTCAATAATTAGCTATTCATCGTGATCACGAATTCATATATATATGTATATACGACTACACTTATTTCCTATACGAGTAACGTGTTCACCTATTACTTTAATGCTATGAAATGAAATAAAACAATTCCCAAATTAAAAACTACATTTGAAATGTCCCCCAAATCAAAAAAGATCAAATAATATATTATTTACTGGGCACACTGGTGGGTGAGTGCTGCACAACTGAGATGTTCTCTGGACCAAAATTGGCATTACAGATTTAGCGTTTCTTGAGATTTGACCTCGTGGTCGGGTCTACGAGGGAACCATGCGCCTCAGCAGCCAAGAACGTTTGCGGGGGAGCCTAAAAGTGGGCGGTAGTTCGGCATCCTTGCGGCTGGGCTGTTGCTTCCTCACGTGTCCGTGGGTCCTCTCCTCGCGAACAATCCTCTTTGGATGGAACTTGGCGTTCCACATCCCGTCCTCGGCGAACAGGGATGGGCATCCGGCAGCCAACTTTCCGGGCTCCGAGGCACAGATCGGGGACTTGCGCAGCATAGAGGATACAAAGCGTTTCAGACCCATTTTCTTTAATTTCAACCGCAAGTGTCGGCTAATTTTGTGAAAAATTTTATTCTTTTAAAAGTCGGTAAGACGTAAAAAGTGCTCTGAGAATGATATCCAAAGTATTAAAATGAATAAAGCGAAGTGAAGTATGTTTCATTGCCCATTGACTCGAAACGTTTTCAAAGGATTTGAGCTGCTGAGTCGGGACTTTCGACTCGTGGAACTCAATTAGGCCGGGGGCACCCGCTCAATTCGATAATCGATTAGATAGCCCATTTTTACGGCGAACTGAGAGCAAGAAAATTGCTTAGCAGCCAGAATTGTTAACCAAGTCATAAATACATATCTGTGCATGTGTGTGGGGTCTGGAAACTTTTGCTCCTGCCACCTCCAAAGGCCCGTCCCAAAATGCAATGTGAGCGCTTTGCAAGTTTTAGCCCACGACCCATTCTCTGCCACATCCACATCCACATCCAGCTAGTCGGGCCACGAAGCTAAAATAATTGATAACAGATTATGTTTTACAATCTAAGCAAGGAGAGATATAATACGAGCATTTTAATGGCCACATGTAGCGGGGCACACGTAGAGAGCCCCCAAACCCGGCCCCCCTCTTCGGCCCAAACTCCGAGTTGCCCGCAAAACGTTTGCAAAACTTAATTATTTCGTTTTGACCTTTTTGTCTTCGTGTGTGTGTGTGTGTGAGTATGTGTGAGTGTGTGCGAGTGTGTGTGAGTGTGTGTGGTGCGGTCGTGGGTTAGGACGGGAAGTGCGCAGAGATGGACAGTTAAAAAAGTTATTTATTTTATGGTCGAAAGTTACTTTGGCCTGTTTTATGGCAGCAAGAGCCGGAAGGGCGAGGAAACTCTAGTTCCCCGGTCCATTGCCAGTGCTGAAAAAATGGCTTTTTAAAAGCTTAAAAGACAGTTACCACAAAATAGACAGCTAAAATTAAAATGAACATGAAAGAAAGCTAATTTCGGCAAGCCGAAGTTTAAATACCCTTGGCTGTTACAACGAAGCTAGGTTGATTTTCCGATACATTTTTCAATCGTTTCTATGGCAGCTATATGATACATTCGACTTATTTTTATATCAACGTAAAATGCATTTCTCAAATCGTTCAAAATAATATAGCTCGGAGTATATGGGTATATTTTAAGAAACAACAATGTTATAATTTTATTTCGATTAATGGCAGCTTTATGAAACACCTGTCCCAGTTTTAAAAAGCTAAAGCCATATATCTGAAATTAAAAAAAAATACCAGAGTATACTCGTACACGCTAAAAAAAAAAAGAAAGTGATCGTGATTGTTCCCTCTTCTCTATTGATTTTAATATTAAATTAACTTTGATAACTTTGTTTTTTTTTAGCATGTATACTCTGGTATTTTTTGCAATTTCTGAAACATGGTTTTAGTTTTTTAAAACTGGGAAAGGTGTTTCATGATATATTATCTAATCGATTCGTTCCGACTTAAATACTCCTGCATCAGAACAAATATTTTTTTGCAATGTTTTATCCTTATATCTCAAAAAGTGAAGGTCTAGTTTGGGTAGAAACGATCAGACGTACATGGCTAGATGGACATGATCAAGAATACATATACTTTATAGACTCCGAAATGTGCCCTAAGCTTTTAAACCAAAATTGTTTGTAATTGTTTGTCATAACATAAAAACAACCAATATTTTCAAAAATAATTTCAACTTAAAAACGCAATGATAAAAACTATATTAAGATAACGTTTTATTAGACTTATTAAAAGAAACCTTAGAAAGCTAAATAAATAATGACATCACTATTGACATAGCAATTAAAAGCGAAACTAGATTTTCCAAGTGAATAATTTTTCTCATCTTTATTTAAGGCTGGTTTCCTTCGACCATCACTGAGTTCATGTCTTGACTCCGTGTGGCCACGTGAATTCACTGTAGCGTGGATCATAAATCAAAAACGAAAAGGGCACAAACGTGGAGCAGAGCTCCCAAGTCATTTTAGGCATGGATCGATATGTGGGAACCGCTCTTCCCTTCCTGAGGATCCACCACGGTGACGGTGCCCCGCATTATCGACTGTTGGGTCGACTGGGCCTGGGACTGCGATGGCGATATGTCCGTGGCGTTGGCCTCCAGCATCGGATCGTCCTGGTTCTCCATCGCCCGCAGCACGGAGTCCTTGAAGAACACGGTCTCGTCGATCTTGCGCCGGTACAGCCCGGTCGGATGCTCCGGATCGAACACTATGTCCGGGCGGATGTCGCTATCGGTGACCAGGACCCGGGCCCCGGGAATCGGGAGGAACTTGAACAGTCGCTTGCGCAACTTGGGCATGTAGGTGACCCGCTGGTGGTCGGGCACCTGCGTCAGCCGGCTGGGGATCAGCTCGGGCAGCTCGATGGGATGGTCCATCAGTCGCCTCTCCGGCGGCAACTTCTGCTTGATGGCCTCCAGCTGGCGGGCGGTCAGCTGCAGCGGTCGCTCGCCATCCTTCCACCGCTCCTGGCCACTGTTGAAGGCGATCTTCTTGTTGTTCTTCAGCTGCTTGCGCATCACCCGCTTGGCCGCGCAGTTGTAGGTGATCTTGGGCACATAGGGTGGCACCGGGTACGTCCGGATGGAGATGGGATGCCGCTGCGGCTGGCTCAGCATGTTGATGTACTTGGCGTCGGCGAACATGTTGATCGGCTTGCCCTGCTTCTTGGAGGCTGTGGGCGCCTTCTGCGGCTTCGGCCTGTCGTGGCGTCCCATTTGAAAGACGTGCCGGTGGCCCTGCCCCTCGACGTGGCGCCAGTCCGGCTCGCAGAGCTGCTTCCGCCCGATCCGCTCGAACGGCTGGCGGCGGAACTTCAAACGCTTCTGGTCGTCGATGAGCAGCTGCAGCCCCGGCACACTGGTCTTTCCCGCCGGACAGGGACACACGTTGGGGTAGCTGGTGCAGTAGCGACCCGGAGCCGGCTCCATGCTGATGTGGCGCCGGATCAGGCGGTTGGGCTTCGTGGGCACGCAGGAGAGCCGCAGGAACAGGTGCGGATTGGGGCGAGCCGTCTTCGTCACGGGCGCCGCGTTCGCCTCCAGCTCAAAGATGTTCGTATGGGTGTCGCATGGACCTGCGTCCTTGGGATCACGCCAACAGCCCGACAAGTTGGAGATCATCGCGTGGGTTGTCGGCCGCCGATCGCGGGCATCTGAAAGGGGAACACTCTTAATGTCGTTTAGATTACTTTAAATTTGTTTCTAATATTTAAAATAGAGACAAAAAGAGAGATTTTTAGACATGGAATGCAATTTACTCACTGTAATTAAGAGAAATAAATGAAAATTTATTGGTTTTCTACCACATTTTGGAACAAGTGTACATTGAAGCCCATATATTAAAAAAGTGCTTTGTGTGTTTTGACCAGGATACCAGTTGTTTTATAACCCCTTGTTAATTAAATTATAAATTGGTATGTAATTTAGCAATAAAAGAACTATTCATTTTTGTACCTTTGCCGGAGGTATTAAAATGTCAGTCAAAAGTTTACAACATACACGTAAATATACTCAAAGATAAAGTATTTTAAACAACTTCAGAAAAACGGTTTAAATTTTATGCAAATTTATCAGAAAATCGACTTAGCTCCATACACATCAAAATCAAAATTAAGTAGTTTCATGGAATATTTAATTGTTGTAGGAGATTGATCAACTTCTAATTGCCGAAGATTGCTTTTTGTTTCTGTTGGAGAAACTAAAATTAAATTTTGTATCAAGTCGATACATTGCCGATTTTAGTTGGCTACCTAAAGACGGTGGTAATATTGCGATCACATTTAGGAACTATTCGGTATTTAGTAAGTATTCGATATGTAGTAATTTATTCCCATTTCATGTGTTTCACTTACTGGACAGGAAGATGCCCTTCTGTAGGTTCTCGCGCTTGAACAGCCGCTCGATTTCCGCGGGAAGTTCGTAGAAGTGATACGGCGGAGGCTTTATTGACACGCGGCTGTGGTTCGTGTGTGGCTTGGCGAAGACGGAGCCCTTGGTGCCCTTCAGCCGGAGGAACGGCTCTGGAAGCACTCCGTAGTGATTCGGGGGCAGCTGCCAGCCCTTCCATTTGGTCATGTTCCGATCGATGTGCAGGCGTCGCCGCTCCGGATACGGATTCTTTGGCGAGACGTCAAAGCCCGTGATATGGCGGTAGTGATCGAAAGTGGCCTTGCTGAACGCCTCTTGGCGGTTCTCTGGGGAAAGGTCTTAACATCCCACCAGTTCTGAAACTCTAAAAACGCTTACCCTTTTGGCAATCCTCATTGTAATGCTGGCCCGCCAGCTTAAATTGCTTATTCAGTCGCGGCAAATTTTCTCTCCTTATGCGATTACCTGGTAGAAAAGATGGAACCAGTTAATAATCCTGGACTCATAAACTCCTTGAGATCCATCCTACGGGACACCATAAAAAGCGGCAGGCTCATCCGAGTGGCCACAAAATTCTGGCGGTCCTCATTATAAATCTTCACTGGCTTCTTCTCCATGCTTGTGGTGTTTAGGTTAGTTCTTAAATATATACATTTATTGAACAGAATCTGACTATGTAGGAGGTAAGTTTTGAACGAAAAGTTTGGTAATAAATTAAGACAGATACGTTTACTACGATGTATACACATATTCCTAAATAGATTGATGCAAAGGAAAATATAAAATTACTAAAATAAATAACAAGTTATTTATGGCCTTTTGTTAATATATGCTAAAAAAGGAAAAGGTAGATTTGGATGTGCTAAAATCCTATCTATCTATCTGTCAAATTTATTGTTCCATTACCATCCTTTTTTAGTTCCAAAAGCAACATTCTGACGGCATGTGCTGTTACATATTTATGAATATAATGAATTCACTTGGAATACACTTTACCAGCGTATTCATAACCAATTCCATGTTCAATTTATTGTTTGTTTATCCATTTGTAAGGACAACCAGAGCCATCAATTCAGTCCAATTTAAATTGCAGACCATTCGACAACCAAATAATTCGGTTACTTTACCCAGATAACTCCCATCGGATGGATGTTTGTAAATATATCACCCAGCCATCACTCCGCCCCCTCCCCCTCCCACACATATAGTGGCCACATAATTAGCGTAGCCAAGCGAACTGATTAACTTGCATTCAACGATTTTCAATTGAATTTTGCAGTTCGTTGATTTGTGCCAAAAAAAGAATGCGACTGAATACAAAAAATCCGCAACAAAAAGTTGTGTACGAGTGGAATGAAAACGGAGACTGCCGTGCAATTTCAATCAGCCGCGAAGGGCGGGTAAAAATGGGCGGGGAAAGGGGGCGGCAAAAGGAGGCGTGACCGCAGCCGGAGAAGCCTGAAGCGAAGCACTGGCTTTTTGCTGCACCGAAGAATGGGAAAATATGCAGCCGGGCAAATGATGAATGTGAAATGTGCCATTAATTAATTTGATTAAATGCAGGCAATCAGCCGAGCGAGGGCAGCCCAAGGGGTTCCGGTGAAGTGGGGCGATATCGAGAAGTGGGGGCGGTCGGGTGTTAAAAACGCCAGTTAAGAATACGTCAGCCCCAACATGCAACTTATGACAAGGGAAGCGCAGACAAAAATCAAGAATCAAATTTATTTGATTAAAATGGGAAAATGTCTGTTCGCATGTCATTAATACACAGTGGGTGAGTTAACAAGGGTAGTACTAATAATATTTTAAATCACAAGAATAATTGTTTTTACCTCATTGGGTTTACCACTCAATAAAAAATAGTACAAACAAATTTATTAATTATATTATTTTATTTTTTACATAAAAATTAAAAATTTGTCATTGCGATTACCTAAACATTTTTTTAATTTATCTTTACTACATTTAATAATTTATTATCGTTTAACAAATTGTTTTGTTTTAATTTTTGCATGAATTTATTGTTAACATTTACTATTACTTTTAAAAAACACTTTGGAATTTAGCCTAATTCACTAAAAAACATTTCAATTTTCATTACGCTTTTTCGGCGTCTGCGTAGGTTCTTATGACCTTCGGCTTGAGATCGTCCTTGCCGCCTTTTCCGCCCTTCCCGCCTTTTGCCTTTTTGGCGGCCTTCTTGGCCTTCTTCGCTTCCCTTTTAGCCTTTTTAGCTGCCAATCTATCACGTTTAGCCTTCTTGCGCAACTCCACTGTAAATATATTAAAAATACATATATTTTTATGTTTATAATCCAAGAGTCTAAGATACTAAATAAAATGTTTATAAAAATATTTGGGTTTAATTAAGTTAATTGGCACCCAATAGGGTACTTACCTTTGACAATCCGGGCGGTTGCCAAATTAACTGGCATCGGGGCGCACTTGAAGCCCGCGGGCGGCGCCTTGGTCAGACGGATAAACCGGTTTCCGGTGGCATAGAGCATGCCCAAACAGGCCTGAGGACGGATGCGACTCTTGGGCCAGTTGGTGAAGTAGAGGTCCTTCAGCTTGATCTGCGTCTTTTTCACGCCCTCGATATCCCGCCAGTAGTACATCTCCCGCGCTTTGGTCTGGTCGTGAATCTTCCAGCTGTGATTGGGCGGGTACTTCTGGTAGCTGGTCATGCAGCTGGGCCTGTCCACGAAGAACCAGACATCCGCATTTGGGTAGAACTTCATTTTGGCTGCTAAGTCTTAATAGCGATTAAAATTTAAAATTTAAGCAGAAATTTGGGGTTTTTTTGAACTGGTTTTTCGAAGAAAGATTCTAAATATAATGAGTAAAACAAAAAAAATACCTGTCAATAGATATAAACAGCTTTAAAATCATGGATACCTTGATAAAGGTATACAAATTATAAAAGACTAAGAACAGTAAACTCCATTGCCTGCATAATTATACAATAATTAAGTTCAGCAGGTAAACTTGTGTTAAACATAAACTTAAATATTGAAAAGCTAAAATAACAATTTGGCACAACTAAAATGTAAACCAAAAAAGTTAAAAAAAAATAAAATTAATTAATGTAATTGCATTTTAATTTGTATTCTTGATGTGTGCGCTCCTTATAATAAAAACTCGAACATTTAAAACATAAGGGTTAACAGTGAGTATGCTAAACTCTGTAAAACTCCCATTGAATTTGTTTTAATAATAACTTTACCTTATACTCGTAAAAATAATATATATTTTTTTTTTATTTGGGTGATGTGTTTCCTAACATTTTTTTATAAATTAATGATTTTTGCCATCAACAACAAGCACCAAAAAAAGAGAGAATAAGTTAAAATTAGTTATTTTCCTCTAGTCTTATCTGCTTAAAATGTATTTAATTCCGCCTGCGAGAATTAAACTTAACTAAAGCAGCAAACTACCGGCTAGTTAATGCGCTAGTTACTCTCCGCCGTAAAAACTAAGCAGGCACTTGCTGCTAAAAAGTTAAGCTCGTTAGGAGAAGGAGGAAAAGTCTCCTGACTTGTCACACTAAAGCGACAAAGGTGATGTCGAAAAACTGTCAATTAAGTTTAATTATTTTATGCTGCAAGAGAGTGGAGATGGAGGTCCTTTCCACACACACACACACAGACACACTAACGCAGGGACACGGGCAGCTAATGTGCAAAAGGCGTCTTATGCAAACCAAAAGGGATTGAGGATGGGGGGGTCGAGGTTCGCCGAGGCTAAGCAAAGTCAATTATCCAAGCAGCTTTGATGCAAGTAATTGGCATAATGAAATTTCCTCTCCAGCCAACACGACAAGGACAACCGCAAAGAATAGAAGCCGCAGCAGGAGCAGTGGCAGTAACCATAACCGTATTAGCATATTGGGGAGGGGGGTTTTCGGATGGCCCGGGGGTTAACTGACAAGCCGTGGCTTTTTTAGTTCTTGCCCTGCGTATTGAGTAAATATTTAAACACTCCGCCATCTGTCGCACAATATTAATAGCATGCATCCGGGCGCAACTTGAACTCAACTCGACTTTTTCCCTTCTCTTTTGGCCAAGAAAAAAGGACGAACAGTTGCAGCCAGTGGCCCCAAAGTGCAAATATGTTGCGGCCAAAGCCGCAAAAACGTTTAAATATTTTATAAGCCAAAGGCACTTGCCAGCCCGAGTTGCAACTGAGCCAGAGCAGCCGAAAGAGGAGAAGGAGCAGCTAACTGCTGCAGTTACCAAATCGTCAACAACTAAGGCAGACAGGACATATCCACACACACACATTTATCTATATATATATATATATCTCAGTCTAATGGGAATCGGTTCGGGTTGGTTGTTGAACAGTGGAGGGTATATTGGCTGAGAAAGGCGGCTTAGTGCAGATCTATTTGGTATTTTCCGTCGCAAGCTGGAGCTTGTAGAACCTTAAATTCCTTCGGAATTTGTCCACGGAAGCCAGAGATTTGTTGTAGATATCCAATGAGTTTTGGATTTTCAACTCCAAACAATGTTGACAAGCATGTTTCTGGTGAAAATAATTTAAATAATATTTAAATGTACGGTGCTTAAGTTATTAAACTTTAATATTTTAAATACGTATATACTTTTGACAGAAAAAAAAATAATTAGAAAACAATTGCATTTGACAATGCAATTAAATTACTAAGAAATTGGTTTCATTGGTGGAACTTGTTTACAGATGCTTTTATTTCCAAAGTATTTTATTTTTTTAATTTCAATGGTAACTGTAAAAAATTTTATGATTAAAAAAACTTTCATTTATAAATAATTTAAAATGAAAGTGTCTACTCAAAATCGAACTTTTACATCCTGCTGGATGACCCCAAGTCGGTATGATCTTTTCCTGTAATCTCTCTAAATACCCCGACTCCTTTCAGTTGATTCTGTTGCTATGTTGCCCAGCTCGATGGCATTCCCCTAATGCCATGAATTTTCGTTGGTTGCATTTCAGGGAGCCGGCAGCCCGTCACCCCCTCTGCACCACCACCAAACCAAGGGGATACTGCACATTGTCTTTGGTGGTTGCGGTGGTGATTGTGGCGATGGTGGCGATGGTGGTGATGGCAGTGATGGCGGTGCTGGTGGGGCTGGCTGCATTGTTGCATTGTTTCGGTTGCATATGAACGACAGCTTTCCACACTTTTTATCGCTCCGCTCTGCTACTTATTATAGCATTTTTCTCCGCTTTCTTGGCTTTTGTGCGCAAATTTCCATGGGGAGGCTGAGCCGCGGAGTTTTCGAGCTGTTGAGCTGATTTCGCCGGGACATAATACGACACTTGTAAAACATTCAGTAACTTAAAGCCGAACGCCGAGTCCTTTCACTCCCACTCCCACCTCTTCAGTCCCTCTGAAATTATCGTATTTCAATTGAATTTCTCACATGCGATTTGCATAATTGAATTTGGTCTTGCAGGGCCGCCATCAGATGGTGGATAATTTATGGGAGCCAAAAACCAAACGACAACTCCGGTTTGAGCCGCTCATTTCTGGATAATTATGCCGCCGAAGATGCGTCTGCTTTATTTTTATCGATGCGCATTAAAAGGCTTTTAAAATTTATTGATATTACCGACTCTATTAAATTATGCCACCACCTCGGCGACTGAACACGCCGGCTCTTTGTGTTTGTTGGTGGTTCGAGGTTTGAGCTCCGAGTGCTGCTGTTTTTGCTGCCTTGTTGCCTTTACAGCCTGACTGACTGACGCCTGGCGATGGCAGCAAATTTTCCATGTCGCCAGTGGCAGCACCAAACAGCAGCAACAGCAACATCAGTGCTGCGTCCGTTGACTGGCAGCAAAATTGGCAATTCCAAAGCATCAACGACGGCGACTTTTGCCATTGCCCATGGGAGGCTGTGGGCGGCTGGTGTCGTTTAAGGCGTGGCACGAGGCTGGCGCAAACTCAATTTGTGTGAAAAATACTTTTAGTTACTGTGCATATTTTAAATGTTACACAGCGGCAGCCACAAAAGCAGCAACAACATCAACAACGCATCGCCATCAGCGTGATGTGAATTTTGTTTTATATGTATTAAAAAACAAAATTTTAAAATTATATTGCACACAACGGGGTGCGTGGGAGAGAGGGAGATGGCAAGCGTGAGCGGTAAGCTGAATATGGGATAAATTAATGCATAAAGACTGGCAGCCATTGAAATCAGTTTATTATGCACACTCACACACACACACATGCACAGTGTCGGCATACGTGTCGTATGATTGATAAATTTGCACTTTGAAAGCACTCAAAATGTATAAAGAGGAAGGCGAACTAAGAGAAGACCCGCCCCACGATCAGAGATATTCCAATACTAAAGTGTAAATAATCATTACAAAAATGTTCAAATCCGCGAACATATCGTTCACAATGAACCTTAGAAAACGATTGTTTTTACTATACATTAAGAATTAAGAAAGAATATTGTATTCAAATAAAGCACACTTGGTCTTCAACAAAAAATTCATTATGGTAAATTTAATTCGTTCATTGATACAACCAGCCCTTATAAAACTAAATGAAACTATGGTATTATTATATAATTGTTTTAAAAATATTGTTTTATAAAAAGTCATACGCCAAGATATTTTATATAAAAGGAAAATATAAGCCAAATATCTTTAATTTTTATTGCATTAAGGGATAAAAGTTAACTTACTACTGTGTAAAAATGACTGTAACTGACTAGTTTTTAAATTACCATGTAGGCCCAAAATAATTAAAATTCATCTCGCATATATGGTTAGAAATAGTCACAAATAAATTTCAAAGGCATTAATAGCTAAATGGTTCTTGCCATATAATTACAATTCATAGTGCATTATTAGCACGCAATATAATTGTAAAAATTCGATAAAAAAGTAAATAAGTATTAGCTTATTTACAAATATATGAACACTTTTTTATCCAGCATTTGTTCGCCAAGTAATTAGAATGCATCACGCATCAAGGGGATTGAAATAGTCACAAAGAAGAGGCAAAGGGAATCACATTTTGGCCAACATCACACTTCATTAGCACAGGTTATCGCGCTGTCTGCTGGCCGAAATGTGTGTGCCGGCTTCCATTGGGAAATTTCGCATGCACATGGCGCAGACATTTGAAAAACGGCCAAAGCAATGGGAAATGGAGATGCCCATGCCGAGTTCGGGAAAACCCCCGAAAACTGTAAAACTCCCAGGCACGAAAAAACTGCAAAGTTCGAAAACAGACGCTGACTCGAGCGGCGAAGGATTTTCGGGGCGAGGAGGTCTGAGATCCTGGGGGCGGGGCAGGATGCCTCTGAAGTGGCAGACACGTAACCCCTTTAGCTGGTGTCAAAGGCAACATACAAATTCGAAGCTCCAACAACAGTTCTAGACCGGCAAAAAAGAATTAAGGAGTCGGGGCACACTGGGCGCCATAAATTATGCAGTGCGCGGTGGATGCTGCAATCTGATGCCCTTCTGGCCCCCATTCCGCCGCCCATTTGCCCCTCCCCTGCGTTTGGCTGCATTCAATTTGAACCACTCCGCATCCCCAAGCCCGCAAATCCCCTTTCCCGGGCTCAATTGCCCGGGCGGAAGTAGCAATCCAAGCTCATCCATGGAATGTGCCATCCAACGGGCCGGGCTGGCTCCTCAATCATCAATCCGCGAACTAGCAGGCAAAAACTGCAACAAGAGTTGGTCCGAACTAGTGAAGCCAATTGGAAAAAGGTCATGGAAATTCGGGCGGAACACAATCGAATTTGCGACCTGATTTGGGCAAGAAATCTGAGATTTCGGGGGACAAAATCCTAATGAGTAAATGCTTGACAGGTTCTCTGTTTCAGCCGCTAATTAGG